GTTAATGCTGCTGCTGTCAATCCTCATCAACAGTCACTGTGAGACAAGGAATTATTTACACTGGGAGGGAAAAAAAAAACAACAAACAAAAAAACCACAAAGTTCTCAATACTGGTCAAAGTTTTAAAGTGATGAAATCTGAGAGGAACAAGCAAAGAATAAACATTGAAGTCAAGACACAGCAAATCTATATAAAGCATTTTTGGTCATTTATCACATGCTACAAAAGAGGAAAGGAAGTTTTTCATCTGACTTGTTCCATTAACAGCTTTACAGTATTTGAATTGGATCATGGGATCCAATTTTAATTACAGCAATGAAAAAAAACCAACACTGTAATGGTTTGAATGAGGTGGATTAAGATCAAGATGAACTTTTCTAGAGGTTTTCAAGAAACTGTAAAGACATTGTCTGCAAGTTCTGGGAAAAAAAGGCAAAGCAGCTGGTGCCTGCTGTTTTGTTCCAAGGTAAAGAGCACTGCACTCTCACTGCATGGAACAGGTCAGGCTGCAACTGCTAGGCTGAAAAATGTCACCATTAATCACAGAACAGCACTAGACCTCCCTGATCCAGCTCCTTCGCTCTGGTAAGCGGGATTTAAAATAAAAGATAATATTTTTACAAGTACAACTATCAATTTATCAAGCTTTAATGTGCGACCTGAAAATAAATCTCAGCACAAGCCTGTTTACTTGGACTCCAGTGGAGTGAGATCCCAGCTGCTCTAGGGTTGAAGTTTGACTTTGGGTGGAACCCCACCATGACAAAGTTCAAGTTTTGATCACACAGCTACATCATATCAGGCTGCACACAGCAATCCAGGCTGTCAAAGTGTCACCATCACCAGTGACCTGAGTATCAACCTACTTCACTTATTCTTTTTACCCCACTATTTATTATTTTTACACTGCCTCACTGCTCAGCCTTGATGAGCTCTCCCAGACTATGGAAATGTGTAACCCTTCATAAACTTTTGCCAACATCCAGCTTTTTCAGGAATCTTCAGTCTAAATGATCCATCCCCACAGCTGAATTAATAGTGAACTAGAAGAGGACCTCAAAACTTCTCATGTGGGAGAAGTTCTCCACAGGAGAAGTACATTGATACTTTCTTAAGGGGACAAAAGAGAAAGGGAATGTGATAGATGCTTTGAAGGTACCTTAAGCAACTATTTCTGAGGTGAAGGTACAGCACAGATTATAAAGGTCTTCAGTGTAGGAATCCAGCAATTACTGACAGATAAACCACAAATCTGGCAAAACTGCTTTCATTTCATTTACAATCCACAAAACAGAGCCTTAGCTCTTTTCTCAGTTCTGTCCAAAATGGCCTTATGCAACTGCTTGTTACATCCTCAACACCAGTTTAGGTCAAGTCCAGCTTTCAATGCCATGACCTGTGTCATGATCACACAACTGTGATCTCAAACACTGGTTCAGGTTAAGCTCTGGACTTAGCTAGGACTACTGCCTGGGAGGAAGGGTCAAGCTTTACAGGCAGATATGCAGCACATGGTCATCTACTACCAATGAGAGATAAGAACATGCAACCCATCACTGTTTCAATCCACTTCTGCAGTATAGGTTTGATGCCCCAAACCCCAAGACAAACAAAACTCCAAGTGCAGAAAGAAGCATAGAATGGGTTGGAAAGGATCTTTAAAGGTCATCCAGTCCAACTCCCCTGCAGGGAGCAGGGACATCCCCAGCTAGGGCAGTGTGCTCAGAGCCCTGGCCAACCTCCCTTGGGATGGTTCCAGGGGTGGGGCAGCCACCACCTCTCTGGGCAGCCTTGGCTCATTAGCTTTAGTGTAGAAAATGTCTTCCTTCTACCTAGTCTAAAACTCCCTATTTCAGTTTCAAACCATCCCCCCCTTGTCCTGTCCTAACAGGCCCTGCTCAAAAGTCTGTTCCCAGCTTTCTGACAGGCTCCTTTAAGCACCGGAAGGCGACAAGAAGGTCTCCCCAGAGCCTTCTCTTCTCCAGGCTGGACAACCCCAAATCTTTCAGCCTTTCCACATGGTGACTTCACATGTTAATACTGGAGTTCTCAGATGGGCATCTGAATGGAGGACAAACAGCTTTTTCCTCCAAGATGAGTAACAAGTGTGTAACAGATTTGGCAGAGGCTGAAATCACAGACAACTATGCAACACTTAGAAACCATTTCCCTCAATGGCTTTCACCAGGCAATGAGGTTGTTGCGTTCAAGAAAGGAATTCAGGGCTTGCTTACCCTGACATACTTCAACTATCTGACCCAAACCCACCTTACCCTTTATTCCCTGTAGAAGATGCAGTAATCCCATCCACTCCCTCATCTCCTGGCACAGCTTGCTTCAACAAATGTCCACAGAGATTCTAGAAGCTGCTCCTGGTCTTTGGCTGCTCAAATCCAAACATTTTGGTAAAACCACCTAGAAATAAGATGGAAAGGGCCTATGAGGAGAGGTACTCCTTGAGAAGCTGTAATTTCCAAAATTTAAGTTTCAAATTCATTCCCATTTACATGTGCAACAAAAATAAAGCAGTAATAGGAAAAACCTGAGCAATTCCTCTTTGTGCATAACTGACAATTGTATTCCCAAAACCTGTCAAAGGAATATTTGATTTTACTTGAGCAGAACACAAAGTCAAAACACAAGTGAGACTCTGTACACGACATGTAAACAGCCTTTGTACTCTAAGCAGTTGTCAATGGATTGATCATCTTGTTTATTTGAAGAAATCCCACTGTTACTCTTGGAGCTTTGCCTGACCCTCCCAGCACCTTTGGAAGGAGCCAAGTTTTACTGTATTCTACTGGTCATGGTCAGTTTAGCAGCAGGGTCAGTCTTCTAAGCACAACTGTACTGAAGTCCTGAGTTGCAGGAGGTATAGAACCTACCTAGCTTCACAGCCCACTCCATGTCTCAACATTTCCACACATTTCTTCTCTTCCTCACTCCCCAGTGCTTCATTTTCTTTCCTGACTTGACAGCAATGAAATCCCAGCCTCACCTTTACTCCAAATCAGTAAAGCTTACAGTAGAGCTTCTCAGTGCCAACCCTTTCTGGGCACAGTCAGAGAAGTCCACCTGGCCAGTTAATAAAGCAGCTCTCCATGTTAAACACTACACCCTCCAGAGGTTCATGTCCCAGAGCCCTGTCCACCCCCTGGTCAGTAGGGAACTTATCCAACACTTTGTGAAGGTTACCTTCCAGTACAGCCTGAGGCCCACAGTTCCTTACCTGTGAAACCAAAAGAATGGAATTTAGGAGCAAAGGAACTGCAGTCTCTGTACTGACAGCTTTCTGAAGGGCTCTATGGTAGCTTTGAGACACTTGAAGTGCTGTAGTTCAACTCTACATTCTCTCTTAAAGACAATTTTGACTTTTGCATGATCTCCAGAAACCAGATGAAGGTATGAACTTCCTAGATTAAAACCATGTGAAAACATCTGCACAGAAAACAGACAACACACTGCCAAGAGATTTGTAAGTTCAGTTTTATTTCAGAAATGAAAGAGGAAGACAATTCATTTAGCAGACAGCCAAAATTCATGATTAAGCCTGGCTTTTTATTTTCCAGAACTCATCAGGATCCTCCTTTCCAGCAATATTCCTTCCCACCCATTCATGCAGCTCCTTCAGCTCCCACCTGCCTGGCCAGGTGAAAACCCAAGTGAATGCCAGAGCAGGCTCTCAGTTCATGTTATTTTACTGCATCTGCATCACAGCTAGTTTTTCACAACAGGTTAGTAGATAAAGTGAGTTGGAGAAGAAGCTGCTGCTTCTCCAACAAGGAAAGCAGATATTTCCAGTGAGGAGAGATGCTGTGCAGTGAGGGTCTGGACTCATTACACTGATCTTTCTTCCTCTTCCCTTGCCACAGAGAAGTAACAGGCAGAGCAGCTGTTAAAACCTCCTAGGACTTCAGATGCATGGTGAGTTGCCTGATCCTACTGAGCACCCTTCTGAAACTCCTTTGGTCTGGTAGGACCAACTTCAGTGTGCAATGGCAGAATTTTTTAATTCAGAACTCCAACAGTCAGCTTGGACACTAATCACCCCATAACTGAGTAGCACTTTCCAAATAAGTAATTAAAAAATAACAGTTGGGATTTTGGCCCTTATAAACCAGTAGTTCAAGTCTTGGTTTTATTGCATAGGAAAGCACTTGGATGCTGACTACTCAGTCAACCAAGACAGTGTCCAGAAATTCTATAAGCATTATTTAACTATTGCTTAAGTTCTCAAACTTTCATCTTGTGCCAGTTAGTAAGACCTGATTATACTCACAGACTGAAAGAAAAAAAATTACTAAGCTAAAGAAACTCCTTTAGATCCAAGCAATAAAAATAGGAAACACTTTCCAGTCCAAAGGGTTCCAAAATCTTTTGCACTGATTAATTTGGAAATACTAGGGAATACTACAACATGCCTAAAATTAGGTTTTATACATGTATCTAGCTATAGATACCCATATTTATACCAACATGCTACTTCAATTAGTGTCTAACTCTGAAAACTAGCTCTGGCTGGATCAACAGACAGCAGTATCAGATCATGGCACTAAAATAGCAATTTCAGAAACTGTTGGGAATAGTTTTGAAAGTGCTTAAGCTTAAATTTGGCTGAGATAAAAATTAATGTATTTAGGTATTAATTTCTCAGGCAGCTGGAAAACTGATATTTTTCTGTTTAAATTCTTACAGATGAGGAAAAAAACAAATCCCCCCCTCCCTGAAGAACTGTAAGATTAGTACATACACTTTACAACTAAATGGAATAAGAATATTTCCTTTCCTATCTCCTTTAGGCCAGTTATATTCCAGCATAGCATTTGTAAGCAAAGATGATATTAAAATATATATTTGGAATAAAAATTTACATATATTCAGATTAGGCTTTCTGGTTAGGCTCATTTCAGCCAAAGAATGAGACAACCAACATACTCTAACTACTGCATATCATTTTTACTTTTGGAAGGTCAGAAATTAAACTGAAAGGAAGTGTCTACAAACACATACAGATAACTATTTTATTAGAAATACTGGGCAACATCAAATTTTTAACATGAACAAATTCATCCATAGGGATAATCACAGTATCATTACAGAAGTTCTTCTGTGTCATTTAGCCAGGAAAGTTTTACAGTTCCAAAATGAAGCAGCATTTTGATTGAATTTATGTTTGCTTCTAGAACTGAAGAAAACTGTTAATCGTGAATTTCCTTGAAAACACCATTTGCTGTTAACAAGCAGTAAAGCACTAGTGTTGAAAGGCACTAGGATTGTTAGCTTGTGTTACCTAGTTTCCAATACAGATACAGGCACTTGAAAGCCTAACACATCAAGCCTGTAAAATACTTCTGGTATTTGTGCAGAAGTCTGTTACATTCTTTCCAATCTTCAACAGGTTTCCTGCAGTTGTAAGGATGCAAAATTCCCAGAGTAAATCTCCGCAGCGTGTTCTACAAGTTGGATCTTTCTTTGGCAGACATAGATGTGGACTGTGTGTATGTCCTAATCACATCCTGAAAAATACAGAAGAAATATTTAGAGCAAGTTACTTTAAAAGTAGTTAGAAGAACCTCAGAGAAAAAAAGAGCAATGCTGTTGTTCTATGTGTCATTCTGTGTGATTCTTCTGAATCATAAAATCATTAAAGTTAGAAGAGACCACTCAGATCATCAAGTCCAACCCAACACTATGATAACCATTAAACTATGTCCTGAAGTGCCATATCCACATATTTTTTTAACCCCTCCAGGGCTGCTGACTCCACCACCTCCCTGGGCAGCCTGTTCCAATGCTTCACCACTCTGGCAGGAGATAAATTCTTCCCAATATCAAATCAAAACCTCCTCTGGTGCAACTTGAGCCCATTGCTTTTTGTCCATCATTGGTTAACTTGGAGAAGCCACCAACACCCACCTCACTCCAACTTCCTTTCAGAGAGATGTTATTACTTATGGTGCTCTACAACTGTGGAAGCAGTTGGTTACCATTATGAAAAGTGGTTAAGCATTTGGTCTGCAGAATCAACCTGAGCACATTGCTTATCACATCAGGTTATCTTCCAGAAACCTTACAAAACCCTAACTGAAACAAGGTAATTATACATCATTGGTTAATCAACAATTAGATGTAATTAGAGAGTGGTTTCCTCATTTTCTAATTCTACACACACTGACTTCTCCCATTTAAACCAATCAGGAATCAAGACCAGTTTCTCACTTTGTCAGATTTACCAAAGAAGTTAATTCACAGCCAAAATTCAGCTCAACATCATTAAATGTACCTTCTTCCCACTTTCAGCATTGTACTTGTCCAGCAACGCCTGAATACGGGCACCATAGTCAGGATGAACATCAGTGAAGTTTTTCACCTGAGCAGGAAGGCAGAACAGAAAAGGCAATAAGAATTTTCCTCCTCTTCAAACATGATGGTGAAGATTTTCTGCTCTGTAGCTTTCAAGTAGTACATATCATAATGAAAAAAAGAAGGATGAAAATGCTTTTCTAGAAGTTTAGTTCTGACCAGCCAGGAAGGAGCTCTGAACATTTTCAAGCACTAGTTCTATTATCCCACACAGAGCTCTTTCCCTGTTTAAGCAGTTCAACTGGGAAGAATAAAGATCCAACCTCTCCCTGGCCCCCAGTGGCTTTTTCCTTGTGTAGAGTAAAACACTGCACTGGCAGCCACCTGATTTTTGAAACGTGGTGCTAACCACATGACAACATCTTTGATGTTCAACATCAATCCCATTCTTCCCATCAGGAAAAGGTTACTTAACACGCTCTGTATTGTTTATGTTATACAATATAAGTAGGCACATATTTAAGCAGCCTTTACTGGCAATTCCTGCACAATAAAAACCCAGAAGTTGCCTTCTCAGAGAAGAATTCCTCATTTCTCTTCCCATGAGCATATTGCCATTTTGAGTTACTACTCTACAAGAAAACCTGGGGGAAAAGAGCAAAAGCTAAAAACCAAAGAGGCCACTTACAGCTCTCTTCTGAATGAAGAGCTGTGCATCTTTGAGATGATCAGCAATGTTTTTACACAGCCTTTGGCGTTCATCTTCCTTCAGCACCTTGATGTAGAACTCACGCACCTTCAGATTAGAAACAAAAAGTCATGTTGAATTCCCCCAAAGCAAGTCACTCGAGCTCTGGCAGCCAGCAACACTAGGCTTTCAGGACTCATTACTACTGAAAAAGAACAGCTTTCACTTACCAGTCAGGCAACACTCAAAATAATTAAACTCCCAACGCAACCAATTTGTGGTGGGGCTTTTTTTTTGTTGCTGTTGGCAAGGCTGCCAACAACTCCTTCCATTTCTACCTTGGAATAACTGCTGCTTATGGCATAAATCAAAATAAATATTCCTGTTAGGGTCCAATTCAGGAATTGATGATGACATTACATGCATGCTCTAGTTTGCTGTTTGTAGATGCTGATTGCAACAGGACAGTCATAACCTTTAGATTTTGGCACCCAGAACAGGGATGGCAAAGGTCTGTGGGAATTAACTGTTCTGTCAGTCAAAATTCAGTTATTTGTGAAATGAAGCTGTATGGAGAGCTTCCAACCTCTTGTGAAAGCTGAACTTCAGGTTAGCCCAGATGCTTCAGAGAGGAGCCACAATTCTTGTTACCCTTCTCTAAGCTCATAGTATACCCTGACATAACAATCCAAGATGTTTTCACACCCATACCTGGGTCACATTGTCTTCGTTGGCACTGTTGAAGCGCTGCACGTCTCCTGACACGCTCACGCGGCTCTCCTTGAACAGGGGCTGATCTTCTGGGCCAGTGAAGCTGTTTGGATAATAGTTCGGGGCACCACCTGAAAACAAGCAAAAAAACAAGCCACAAAACCAAAGTGATCAGATGCCAGATCTCTCAAATTGTCAGAAGACTGAAAGTGTTCATTTCCTAGGAGAATTTAAATTACACAATTATGATTCACTGTTAAAAACAGTTGCCAGCATCTTTCTGTCAACATACTGCTCAACATCAGGAGCTGTGTCTTTGAGCCAGTCCTTAGCAGCACTCATTACAAAGAATTTCAACAGCTTTTGGAGGGAAAAAATTATTCCCCCTCCTGAAATTAGGAGGTCTGGTCACTCTCACAACAACATTGCTCAGAAAATTGGAAAATTTTAGTAGACAGTCATAGAAGTTGTTTGAAGTTTTAGTCTAAGGCAGCATAAAAGTAAACTTTCACCCACACATTTGAAGCACTACAAATCTTAACTGTGGAGGGTTTATTTTAAACACATGAACTGAAGAGAACTGCATCAAAATACACAATATTTGCCCTTGGGCAGGAACAGTTGTTTTCAAGTTCTCATTTTACAAGTATTTCCCTTTCCTCCACCAGTAGGTAGCAGAATTCATAGCCCAGAGGAGTACAGTGTTTGGCATGAGGCACAGCTTAAGTACATCCTTGTTTACTCTCAGGTTTAGAACAGTCACTATTGGGCAAATGCTGACAGAACATCACCTGCTGAAGGAAGGAAGTTAAAGCTCTAGCCCTGGCATTCGTGTGTGCTCTTGCCTTGGAAATCCAAAAGCAAAGAAGTTTAGCAAAGTGGACAGTGTATGAAAGTCAGTCTTGAAATTTAAAAAAACACAAATGCAGATTTCTCAAGACATTTAAGCCACCTCTATTTTTAGAATAGATTTTTTGCCTAGAAGTAGAGATAAAGAGGTGGCAATTCACTTCACTGAAGCCATTTCTCTGGCATATTTTGGTTTAAAGTAATATTTTAGAACTTTTTCAATTAAGCCCCTTGTAACAAGCAGTGTTCTAAAAGTCTTTAAAGGAACACAAACCAGGGACATTACTGAATTCATCTGGCTGGAGGTGCTCTCTTGAACCCCATTTTCTTAATGCCTATTTCTAAGTTTTTAAACACATCTGAAGCTTCACTTGGTTTTTACCCTTTTAAGCAAACTCTCCATCCCTTTCCAAACATCCAAAGTCTCCTTTCATGGGAGAGATATACACCCCTTCCAAATATGTAAAGATGATAAACTCTACTTCTCAGGAACCAAGAAGAAAACTCCCATTTTTCCCCCACTGTTTACAACATTGAAAATGTGTGTATTTGTAGCAGTTAGAAGTTACATCCATAAAGCCAAAAAACACTTATAGCTGAGAGACTATGAACTACAATAAATAGGATTGAAGTTGCACATCCATGCATTTCTTTTGAAGTCTTCAAAGATGCTGATAATGAATTCTGTAATTACACAAGCAAGCTTGTGATTTACAGCAAAGTTCTGATTCTTTTGGAGAGGATTAAAATTGTTTTTCTGGAAACAATTTTATTTGCTGTGTAATCCACACGGGGAACAGAAATTCAGGAAATTTTACACACGTACAATCAGGGGTTCTGTAATATGTCATTAGTTACCACAAATTAGATTTTTGAATTCATCTGGATAGTTTAAAGTACATTACTTTTTGAATGCTGGGTTAAAGAGTATTGGAAATGGCACGTGGACAGAAGTAGGGCACTCCACAGAACAGAGCAAGGATGGATCTGTAACAACTGCAGCTGAGGCCAGCTAGCTAAACTCACAATGGAACAGATAAGAATTCTGCAGCACGTGTAAATACCATTATATTTAAAGATATTTTCATTACTACCTTGGTTGTCAGAAATACACATGGGTCCATCCCTCTGGTAGTTGGCCACACGGGCCCTGAAGGGGCAGTTCACTGGGATCTGGAGGTAGTTGGGTCCCAGGCGGTGTCTGTGAGTGTCAGGATATGAGAACAGGCGACCCTGAAACAGTTACCACAAACATCAGCTACTGCCTGCTGAAAGAGATCACTAAGTGCTGTGTCCCACTTCAAAGCATTAGGCATGAAATTGTTAAAGGAAGAAGACTCTCTCCTTTGCATATATATATTCTTGACATATTTAGAATTATTTCTGAAGTGACAGTTAGCCACAAACTAACTTGGCTTGGGTCTTTCCTACCAATTTCAGAATGCTAAATTTATTCTGAAGCAAGAAAACACATGAAACTTGCTGTAGCTATGTGAAATATTACTAAGGAATAATCCAATATTTCCTTACTTACTTTCAATCTTAGATTTAACTACATCTGTTGTCCCTTATTTACTGAACTGAATCTGAAGCAGTTCTAGTGACTTCTGGATGCCATGAGATGTGTGGGAGCAAAGAGGCAAACCAAAAGAACTGCAACATAGTTCAAGCATTTATCCAGTTAAAAGTGCCAAATCCCCTCCTTGTTTCCATGGATATAATTTGAAACAACAATCTGGGTTTAATCTGGAAAAGCCTAACACAGAAATATCAATAACTCTGCAGCCAGTTTTATCAGATCTTTTGACCTAGAAATATATAAATCTGATACTACTTCTAAAGAACAACCTTGTGTGTATCAGGGATTGGTTACATCTGTACTCCAGCAACTTTGAACAAATCTAAGATCTGTTTTTCCTTCAGTTCTTTCCCGTTTTCTTTAAATTTTGCCTGAGCACATCAAATGGTGATCACTAAAAAAACAACCACCAAAAAAAGCAGAATAAATCAATCAGTTGCTTTTTCTGTCAGGTTTACTGCTGCTATACAAAATGGGATAGGGACACTTTCAAAAACAGCAAAGCAAACGTGCTGCTCCTCAGGTACAATCTGAGGTAGTTTGTATTTACCTGCAGCATTTTATCAGGGCTAGGTTCAATACCAGGAGGCATGTTGCTGGGATCATATGCCATCTGTTCCACCTCTGCAAAGTAGTTGACAGGATTCCTGTTCAAGACGAGCTTTCCCACAGGGATGAGAGGGTAGTCACCATGTGGCCAAATCTGTAAGATGCAACATACACTAAAGTCACCATTATTATAGTATTACACAGCTTAAATCATTACCAGGCACCATGTGCCTGATTTAAGCCCTTACTGGGAAAATACATTTACTGAAGCAATTCCATTTTTGCTAACAAAGATTTTGAGAAATATATTACTTTAAGAAGCCTTTTGCAATTAATACACAGTACAAATGCAACTTATTTCATCATCCCAGCATCATCTCAGCACTTGACTACTTAAATGAGATACCCACAGGCACTTGACAAACTGCCAAGAATGCAATATTGTAGGTGGAACTGGCAGCAGGATTGTTTTGAGCTACTTCAAAATGCAAAAAGCTTAACTAGCCTTTT